GATACAACACTGGCACCAATTTCTTGCAAGTCTTTATTGGTCAGCCTCTTTATATGTCAGTAAGATAACCCCCCCCCCCCTTCCTGGTCCATAGATTTGTCGGAAGGCCAAAGTTCCTCTTAAGGTGAGAGCATTTTGGTGGACCTTGGGGTTGTGCTTATACCGGGACCTGCTCACACGTCTTGTTTCACTGTAAGTTGACTAGCAATATTTGGATGATTTTTTCTGTGGATAGAGAGTATCTAGTTATCCCACATACTGTTTTGGATCTGTTGTAAGTCTGTTTTGTGGGCTTTGGAAGGGCAAAGGAGAAGATATGTTGAACTGCTTTGATGGAAATTTTGTGGTGTTTGTAGTTCAAATGTATTAAGTGAATCTCAAAGGAAATTACTTTGATTCCTGATTTGTTGTGGGATAGTATAACATAAATTGTACATATTCTTTGTGGACTAAGGCAGCTGGGAATTTAAGAATGGCTGTGTGGGGGATATTCTATGGAATTGAGCTAACATATAATCTTTTTTTGTTGTCATGATTCATGAGGACAACTTGTCCTCTGTTACTGCACTCACTGTATTTGTTCATTAAAATATTTTTCTTAATGTAACTTCAGCTCCTTTTTATTTATTTACTTATTTATATATTAATTTTATACATTTTGTGTTCTTACCTATTGATATATAGTGTTAGAGAATATATGAGCCTTACATAATCCTTTTCTTCTTTGCAATGGAGGGAGAACGTGGTGCTGACTACTTGTCTCTCTTTATTGTCAGACACAATTTTGATATGGGCTGTGCCATTTGCGTTAGATTCGTTGTGCAGTTGGTAATATGTTAAGGAAGAGCGCTATATTTGTAGTTTTTATGAGATATATTTTCTATCCCTAGAAAGCCAAGCTTTTAAAGCAAGTGTTTAAGTGACAAGAAATGAATTAGCAGGGTGTTGGTAGCTCCCTAAGACAATAGATATCTAGCTTATTATACCCATTGTATAACCCTCAATATATGTCTAACTTATTGAACTCATTGTCACACCTACCAAAGTGAGGCAGGAGTAAGATTCAAGCTGTGTGCGTCCTTGCCTTTTCATGGAATCTATATATTTTTTTCCTGTAGATTCTTGTGATCATCATATGTTCAATGGGCATTTTCACCTTTTCAGTAGAATTTCTTAGCTAGTTTGAAATTGAGCATTAAAGGCTTGATTATCTTTCTTTGACTTTTGTAGCAATACTTTTATTTCCTTTAGTTCCTCTGTTTGATCCTTTAATTATCAAAGTGATGTGATAATTAAAAGAACCTTTTTTTTTTCTATTTCTGTTTGGACGATAGCCTCTTCCATTATAAATTTTTCTACATCTTCCCTTGCTTTTTGTTTCTTTTATTAGAATATTAATTATAGACCTTGTGGTCTATCTTCAATCATGGAACATAAGATAAAAGAAGAGAAAGTGGAGTTGCTTTTTTTATCAAAACAAATTAATAGATTAACTAGTATAACAATTGGTTTTGATGGCTGCACCTGAATTTTTAACTGAGTACTTCATAAAAGGAAAACACAGAGCAGTTTTTTTTTTTTTTTTTTTTTTTTTTTTTTTTTTTTTTTTTTTTTTTTTTGTGTGTGTGTGTGTGTGTTATATCACTACTATATCTTGGAGTGTAAATTGAGGGTACATGATTTTTCTTCAGGTAACTCCGGCAAAAGGTGTGATCGAACCTGATCGTACACTGGAGGTCGAAGTTAATCATGAGGAGTTCCAAACCCTAGAAGAGTTTGTTGATGGCGTTCCCCAGAATAGTTGGTGTGAAGATGCCAGGGACAAGGAAGTCATTATGGTCGTAAGGGTTCATGGAAGTTGCTGCACTGAGATTGGTAACCACCGCATACGTGTTCGTTACTGCTGCTTAGCCAAGGGGAAAAGATCCATGGCTAAAACGAGGAACGAGAATAAAGTCCAGTCGAATCTCCTGCAGAGGTCAAACATCCAAAACCTCAACACTTCACTTGACGTTTTTGACAAACTGCGTAAGCTTCGCTCTCCTTAACACTGGTCATTAAAAAATTTCTTTGTGACTGTCACTTTTCACTTCACCTCCGGAAAGTGCTTGTACTGAGGATTATCAATCTTTCCAGGCAACTGTGAGGTTAAGTGCATGTAACTATGTAAGTGTACTTTTGTTGCTGTGCCTAACTGGTCGTTTTGCTGAGTTTTAGGCAAACCATAATCATCATTGTAAATAGAACCTCTAAATGGTGCTGATTTGCATTACATTCATTTGCTATCACTGTAGAGTTGATTTATAAAAAATTTCTGCGTCAACGCAGAAATTTGTTGTATGTGTACAGAAGGCATGTATAGAGTTGAATGTCTCAACCCCTTAAGGAAATATAGGGGTGGAATGTGCTCATTTAAGAATTTTGAAATTGAGAAGTTGAATTCATTAAAACCCATGTATACAGTGGGAGCGTGGGACTTTTTTTTTTCCTTCTATCACTCATTTTATGATTTTTTTTTTTAAAATTTTATTTTCTGTGGTTTTGTGTGTTTTTATTCACTTTGTTCCATAGATATTGCAATTGTTTAGTGTTTTTGACTTTTCTACAGTTCACATATTCCTTTTGAGTTTTGACCATAAATTGTGATTTATAGAACAGACTAGTGTTTGACCCGGGCAATGCATCGGAGAGCTTGAAAGACTTATTAGTTTGTTGTTTTTTTATTTGTCATTAAATCATAATACCATGACAACAATAAAATAATATGCATGTATTTATTTATTTTTGTAGATTTAATAAACATGAATTATTTGTAATTAAGATGGTAATAAAGTTTGTCTTTATTAAAGGAGGTCTAGATGTCTAGTGTTTAAACCTCTTTACATGCATTTTTGATTAATTATGACATGAAACGCAATTCTATTGTGAGAATAGATAACGTGGCACATTTTTGGCTCACTTCAACTCTTGACATTCTATTAAAATGGTGATTTTAAATTATAAATTTCATATGTTGAAATTTATAATAAAAAAATAAAATAAAAATAAGAATACTCCATTTGAAATTCCATGGAGTATCAAACAAAAAATGCTAATGGATAATCAACCAATAAAGTAAATATCTACACACTATTTAAGTAATACTCCTATTTAAGTAATGATTTAAGAGTACAATCAACACATAATCATTGAGAACTTAGGATAAAAGCTAAAAATATATTGCATTAGTTGAGGAAATAAGAAGGAATATACACAATGCATTGTATTGGGAAATATTATGACTAAAATCCGAGCTAGTTTATAAATAGTGATTTGTGACCGTGAACTCTTAGGGCATGTTCTCATTGGCTGAGCCGAGCTGAGCTGAATTGAATATTTTATAAGAGAAGGAAATTAGGAACTGAGCTGAACTGAACTGACCTGAATTTCAACGTATGAGAACAGACCCTTAATATATCAGTAAGAGCGTATACAGTTAATTAGTTGTTGCAATAGCCGGTAGCTATGGCAGTATATTGGTTGCTGCATGTAGTACGGAATATTATTTAGAAGTAATAAGTATATGTTTAGCTAGTTGTTTTTGTAGCAATAATGACTTGTTCAGTTGTAATGCATATTCAACTAACCCAGCTTTAATTAACTGCCTTTTAATTAACTTAAATAACATTTATTCATATTATGTACTAGAATGCATTTAATCATATAGTACAACATTGATCCTATTACAGCTTTCACAGTCCTTAATCCAGAAATTAATCCATGTACAAATGAAGCAATTCACAATTAATTGATTAATTTTATGTTTTCGCCATTCGCGGCTAAAAATTAAAACAAATCAATCAAAGTTGAAAATGAGGTTTTTTTTAATGCTTTGAGTAGAAAACTGAAAGTGCAAATAGTTCAAATGAAGTCATATCTGCCTTCATTTTTTGCGTTGCTTTGAAAAATGAAAGTCTAAAGTCTTTTTTGCCTTTTATTCTGGTGTGCTGAATCTTTTACTTAATCTTCATTCATATATCCTGGAGTACCAGACTAGCAATATGTACGGTATTTCTATACAAATTTATTGCTTTGCTTCAACCTGTGGTTTTCTATAACAAGAATAATAAGCTAATTTATGATTATGTAGATTTTCATATTATTGTAACTCGATCTCATATCATACATTACCTTGGAAAAAGAGAGGGGGGGGGGGTGTTTTGTACAAATGTAAAAGGATGAATTATTAACGATCATGTTCTTGAGTCTGATCCCAAGGCTTACTTGACTATGTAGCGTTGTCATCTTTAATAGGTTGTTAATTAACTGTAATGGAAAAAATCGAATAAGATGTCTAGGTCAAATGTTTGATCTTACAATAAACTTATTGGCCTTTGACTGGAGACAATATAAGTGGCGGTGCACTTTTCACTTATTAAGTCCGCCAATTATCCATTTTTTGTTACATCTATCGGCTCTTCTTCTATAGTCGTTCATTTTATTATACACTTGAGATTTGTATTCTACAGATCAAAGTACTTTTTTTTTTTTTTTTTTTTTTTTAAATGGAAAATACATTCATACATCGATATAATAGCTAGAGGACATGCTTACAAATATAACCTAAAAATCAGGTGACATGATAGCTTAACTTCATCCAATTCCCATTTTTTGTCCATAACATCTCTTTCACTTTCACTAAGGTCAATCTTCTAGAAACATAAAAACTTTCATTTATTTACCTGCAATAAATATATTCAGCTTAGTAAGTACGTACCATAATTTATACTACTTGACATGTATTCAAGTTTCAGATTACAAACATACTTACTTTTCTTCAATGCTTTTACCACCATATTCATATTGCACGTTTAACTTCCGTACAAAGCCGTATATTTGACTCAATCCTATCTATTAGCCTTTGTTTGGCGTACTTTTCTTGTTAATTACCACTCCCATATATTCATAGTGTACGTTTACCTTCTGTTCAACGCCGGCCTTAATCGCCGGATTAGTGACTAATTACCAACTTATACTCAAAACTTTCATAAAACTATATATATACACAAGGTGCCTTCAATATCTTCTTCAAATACCACAAAACAAACATTTTTCTAGCTCATTTCCTTAGAAGACAAACCATATCTCCTTGTCTCGTAATTAATAGGCCATACATATATACCTATTATATCGACAGGTCAAGTAGCTAGGTCTCGAAAAATTGTGTTCAAGACCCTAAAATCTAACAGGGTTTCTAGTCGGATTAAATTTTGTCCTAGCCAATAAAATGGCCAAGTTCAACAAATACATATCGACTATATGTTTTTTTTGTACGATTTTTATTAACTTATCATCTTCGATATCAGCTGAAACAAAGGCCTACAATGTGCTAGAATTTGGTGCTAAACCAAATGGTTTAACTGACACGAGCAAGGCCTTCCTTAGAGCATGGGAGGCCGCTTGTAAAACGAATGGTTCGGCTTCGATTACTGTCCCTAAGGGGAGGTACTTGCTCCATCCCATCGAATTTCGAGGTAGTGATTGTAACAACAATGATATAACCTTCTACATCGATGGAACCATAGTGGCGCCTCTTGACTATCATGTGCTCGGTCGTGTGGATCGATGGGTGTGGTTCGATAGGGTTAGTGGTGTTACCATTGATGGTCATGGTTTCTTTGATGCCAAAGGTACCTCCTTGTGGAATTGCAAGAAGGGCAAAAATGGTAATAAGTGTCCTCGAGGTTCAACGGTATGTATGCTTAGACTTCCTACATTCTTTTTTAATTGCAGCATGCAACATTAATATTACTATCGCATATTCTCATTTGACTGTTTTTTGTGATTGTATTTGTATTGATATATACTAATTAAATATAATATTTTTAAAATGTAAAATTTTCATACGAAATAATCAAATACGTGATTTTAAGTTTTTAACATCAAACGAACACTCGACCTTATTGGTTAAAAGAGCGAGATATTAATGAGAGTTTAGCTTTTTGAGAACAGTTAAATGATTTGAGCATATATAATCAACTTTTTTTTTGACAAGAAATAGCTTATTAGAGTACACCAAGTTAATTTGAAAAAGTAGCTCAACCCAACTCTAGTTTGTGTAAGAGCGATTATTTAAGCAATTCTTGAAATAAAGATTCTTAATGTTACGTTTGGTAAAATAGATGATTTAAAGAATTAGTCAAAACATCCGTACAATCAGCTAGTTAAACCAGTTACAATTAGTTATATCAACTATAGGGACCATAGGGTAACTATTAGCTAATTACCAAACAGATCTAATTAAAATGTAAAGTCAAATGTAGATGTACGACTAATCAAAATTGAAAGATCAAATTTTCATAGTATTCAAACTTTCAAAGTAGTTCTGATCATTTTGTCATTAGCGTTATTAGTGCGCGGTTATCAAATTAAATGATGCATGTATTTATTGCTATGGAATTGCATAAAAGTGGGATCATACCAGATTGTCAAAATAAAGTTCTTAATATTAATTAAATTTAATCAAACATTAGTCAACTTCTAATTATTTTTATTTCTATTGTGGTTGTAGACTTTAACCTTTACCAGCTCCAACAACATATTGATAAAAGGAATTACTTCACTAAATAGCCAACTGTACCATATTGTGATCAATGTGTGTAAGGATGTTTTAATTGAAGCAGTCAAGATTAGAGCAGCTGGAAATAGCCCTAACACCGACGGCATCCACGTCCAAGAATCTTCCGGTGTTAACATCATGAACACCAAGGTTAAAACAGGAGATGATTGTGTCTCCATCGGACCTGGAACTAAAAACTTGTGGATTGAACGAATCGCGTGTGGCCCTAGTCATGGTATAAGGTAAGGAACAACTATTATGTACCCCTTCGTCTTACAATAAAAAAAAGTTTACTATTCGAATTAGTAAAATATTGATTATATCGACTTTATATCGTGCTACAAATAATTTAACATTAGTAGAGAGAATTAACTGGTCAAGCATGCAGGTATAACAAGAAATTTAGGTTTGTTATTGTATTAACAAAAAAATAAAGTGTAAAAATTAAATCATTGTTCAACATTTTAGTGTAGTACAGATGTAAAATGTGTTTCTAAGTCTAAGTAATGAAAGTTTGTCTTTGATTTTCTTTGGTACTACGTAGTAATAAAAATAGTGGATTTTACGATACTGAAACTTGTCATGGAGATTGCTGATATACGATATATGAATTATATCAGGGTTTTATTTATTTATTTATTTTCTAAAATGTAATTATAATGTATTTATTTATTTTTTTCTATAAAAAAAAAAGTTGTTATCATTATTATTATTATTATAATTTTCGAAAATGTAATATCTATGCAGCATTGGAAGCTTAGCAAAAAGTATGGATGAAGAAGGGGTACAAAATGTAACAGTGAAAACAGCGGTAATCTCTTACTCCTTAACCGGAGTGAGAATTAAGTCGTGGGGAAGGCCTAGCAATGGCTTTGTCCAAGGGGTTGTTTTTCAAGATGTTCTCATGCGATATGTTTGGAATCCTATTATCATCGAACAAAATTATTGTCCTCATAATAAAAATTGTCCCGGCCAGGTGCGTATATATATATGTACCATGTACTCAGTGTAACAAACAACTTATGTGACGTAACTAATTAGAGGTCATATAAACATAACATTCTCTACTTTTCTAACTCGTTTCTTCTAACATGACCTAACAGGAATCGGGTGTACAAATAAGTGATGTGAAGTATGAAAATATACGAGGAACTTCATTAACTGAAGTAGCAGTAAAATTTGATTGCAGTGCTACGAATCCATGCACTGGAATTCAACTCCAAAATATCGACATCAAGTACTACGATGAAAATAAAACTCAATCGTACTGCAAAAATGCAGTTGGAGAGATCTCAGGCTTGGTTCAACCCCAAAGTTGTTTAAACTTAAATAAAGAATTCCACGTCATTCGCGTGTCTGAATGAATTTTTTATTTTATTTTTTTTGAAGATTTGTGTGTATATATAGTGTGTATAAAAAAAAATGTACAAGCGTGTAATGTTTACGTTACTATTTTATCTTACATATATGTCAATATAATCTGTGTTTTTCCAATTATTTTAACAAAAACTTTTGCATGCCCCCGGTTTACAATAATTTTATTGTACATCGACATTTTGCGCCTGTGAACAGTAATATTTTCATTAAAGTGACCCTTTTTTTTACAAAAATTGACCCTTTTTTGTTATAAAAGTGACCCTTTTTTAACAAAAGTAACTCATTTTTAGAAAAGTGACCTTTTTTTTTACAAAAATGACCCTTTTTTCACAAACGTAACCCTTTTTTTCACAAAAGTGACTCATATTTTCACAAAAGTAACTTTTTTTTTCACAAAAGTGACCAATATCTTCACATAAAATTTCCATAAATCTCATTAGTTTTTTGTTTTTTTCCAAAAATAACCTAAATTCTCACAAAAGTGACCCAACCTACACTGAGATCAACATCATCTAACTATAACTCCAAATTTTTACTCTTCTTCTTCACCATTGCAGAAATTAGTAGTAAATAAGCACTACAAAAGAGTAGAAGGACAAAATTAAAAAAACCTAAAAATCGAATCAAATCCACTAAAAACTAATAAAAATGCACAAAAAATTAAGTAACAAACCTGAAATTAGCGAGAAACAAGTTCGCAAGTGAAAAAGAAGGTAGAAAATCAGATCAAAGCACTAAAAATTGAAGCAAAACAGATCAAATCACAAAATATTGAAGAAAATCAAGTCAAAATGGAAGAGTGAGAAAATTGAGGAAGAGAGAGAAAGTAAATCATGAGGAAGAGAGAGAAAAAAGAAGAAGAGAGAAGAAATGAAATGTGTGACGTATGAATGAAATTGATAGAAAGTTCTTTTCTATTTGTTGCCACCATCCGCCGTTCACAATTTAATGTAAACCGGATTTTTTAAAACATTTGTGTTACTTTAATCTTATTTTTACCCGTCTTAAAATAAATATCCGAATTCTGATTATGGTTGTGGATCAGGTATTGAACTAAAAAACTGATCTATTTGACAGCATTGGGCCGGCTGGCTCAAGACCGGTATAGCCTAAAAATAAAGGGTACATTGTTGGAATAAATTAGCAACTAATCTTAAGATTGCCTTAATACCATCTAGTAACCCCTGACTGAGTAAGCCTTAATCGAGAGAACTCCTGTCCGAACCCCTCAAGTAACACCTGATCAAATAACTCAAGTAACCCCCAACTCAAAAACTCAAGTAAACCATAGCAAAAAAAACTCGGGTAAGCTCTGCCGCACCGCATGGTGTGGCCTGTTGCACCAAAAAATTACGGCTTGGAAAATTTAGTACGGGGTAGTTATTATAAATATATTTCCGAATTAAATGAAAAGGACATATGTTGCAATTGAAATAAGGGTGGGATAATGGTCAATTGATGCAACCATGATGATTCGAAATCCCCAACCCCTGCAATTCATCAGTGAATCAAAGCCCTGCGTTAGCAAAATTTCTCTTACCAACCACCAAACCCAGGCAACAATTTTTTCACTTAAAATAACCAAAATAAAAACTTGAAATTTCCCAAAAATCAAATCTTTTGATCAAAAATAAAAAATGGAGTTAAAAGAAGAAGTGGAAAACAAGCAAATAATACTGAAAGGGTACATTGATAGAGCTCCATTGGAATCAGACATGGAATTAAATGTGGGAAATAAAATTAAGCTCAAAATTTCAAAAGGGTCTAATTCAATTCTTATTAAGAACCTTTATTTGTCCTGTGATCCTTATATGAGAGGTCGAATGCGTGAAAATTACGGTTCTTACATTCCACCTTTTGTTCCTGGCAAGGTATATCATTTAAAGCTTTCATTTTACTGAATTTCCCAGTAATTATTTCTTATTTTAATCATTTTTTTTGGATTTTCTGTATTGTTTAAATGTTTATGCTCAATTTCTTTTGATATTTGATAATAAGTTTAGTTGAGCAGTAGATTTATGATTTATGAATAAAAGGGAAAATTGATGTGCTATTGAGTATTGAATATTCTTTAAGAAGTAAGTTGTTTTGTTGTTGAGCATATGTTGCTAAAGGGTGACCCCAAAACCTGAGATGGAATACGTACATTATTTGTCTTTTGTGACTCTGTCTACACCATAAAAGATTTGAAGTGTAATGCTGTCAAATTTTAAACCTTTGACCTTAAGTTAACTACGCGATTGTAGTGCTTCCAATTCAAATTGGTAATTGCCAAAATTTTATATGAGATTGTGTGAGATTGGTGAATCTAATATGTTTTTTAGGGATGACTTTAAACATTTACAAGTTAATTTGGGATCATCTCACCCAAGATTGACCATTGCTATTTGTGGTGCATCAACTGATGCACCCTTGCACAGCTACATTAGATGATGACAAATTGACAAAACTGTTAGTATTGGGATTGTCACATTTAGTACTTCATCATTTTTGTGAAACAGTTTACATTATATAGCAAAAATTTCCTTGTTATTTGCCTTGTAGAAATGTGAGGAGTGTAATACTAGCCAAGGCAACTACTCAATGTTTTAATTAGTACTGCTAATAGAATGCTTGAGTGAATTTTTTGTTTTTTTACATGTTTGAAGGGAGCTGGCCGTTTTATCAGATCATCGGTCTCTAGTAGTACTCCATAATAGTAAAAGGCCTATAGTGGCTAGATCAGGTCCTAAGTTTCTGTTCTTCATTGTCTTTGTTATACTGCCATTTGAGCCTTTTAGACTTCTAAGGGTTAAAATGCTGACATATTGGTGTTTTTTTCTTCCTTGAGAAGTGGAGGCAATAGGCAGAGCATGATTCTTCTCGCCTTAATGTGCATGTTTTTGAGAAAATGATATGATATTTCTGCCTAGACCATCTTCTTTCTTACTCCCTCGGGGGAAAGGAGGGGATGGAGCCCTGAAGCATATTTTAATTTTACCAGACACCAATTTCGTGCACAACTCTAACCATGTTAGCATGTATCGCTGTCTAGCCTATTGAAGGATTTGGAGTCTCCAGAGTCATAGATTCAGATGATCCAAGTTTCCATCCAGGAGATATTGTTTCAGGAATGACTGGCTGGGAGGAATACAGCTTAATCGAGGATACAAAGAAACTGAGGAAGATTCAGCAAGATGACATCCCTCTTTCTTATCATATCGGTCTTCTTGGTATGAAACATACCTTGTTTTCCTTTTTTGATGCCTGTTTTTTCAGAGCAACTTATTGCTAGAGGAGTTGCAACGTAAGTCCTAGAGCCAATTAGCCCTCTGTGACTATGCAACTTGGTAGCTCCATATTATCAGTTACTTCTCAGAAATGATTTAGAGGCTTGTTATAATGTTTTCTTCTGAAGCCAAAGTGTTCTTGCTTGATTGATCTGTTTATGCAGGTATGCCAGGATTTACTGCTTATGCAGGCTTTTATGAAGTCTGTTTGCCAAAAGAGGGGGACCGTGTTTCCGTCTCTGCAGCTTCTGGAGCTGTTGGGCAGATCGTTGGTCAACTTGCTAAATTACATGGTTGCTATGTTGTTGGCAGCGCAGGCACAAAAGAAAAGGTAATGTTCTTTTTATGACGGTTCTGCATATTGTAGTTCTTGCATGCATGTTCTGTAGATTGATTCTTTGTTCCCTGCTTGGTAGATTGATTTACTGAAAACTAAACTTGGATTTGATGACGCTTTCAACTACAAAGAAGAACAAGACCTTGATGCAACTCTTAAAAGGCAAGTAGAAAACTAGTTCTTTTGCTTTGTTACTTTTCTGCATGGCCTATAATTTCCACTTACATTTGGCATTTGACAAGACGATCTAAGGTATTTAGAAATATCAATCTTGATGTGTTATTGCTGAAATGGTGGAGATAAGCTGTATTATTTGAATTGTGTGTGTGTGTTTGTGTTAACATTGTCTTTACTAATGGGGTTGTAACTATTAAAGACTACCTTTATCAATGCTGCTGATGAGTACAATGCAAAGAATGCCCACCTTCAGTTCCTTGTTTGCTATAATACCGAAATCAGGGGATGCCAAACTTATCTATCACAGATTTATTTCGCTAGCATCATGGGCTAGGAGCATCTGGAATTATTTGTAGGATATTTTAAAAGCTTGAAAGCAATTGGTAGTCTTTTCACAATTCAGCTACCAAAAAGAAAAAAGGTGAAAAGAACTCGACCAACAAGTAAAAACATCACTGTCAACATCCTTAATGTTTGCTACTCTTTTGCTGGATGTAACAGATTGTGTAGTTTTTGTTTGGTAATGTCATGGAATAAGTTCAGTCCTCCCGACCATGCTTTTTGCATATGCTCATTATGTCAGTACATGTTTTAGCATATATTCTTAATGTTCGACGCTAACTTAGGATGATTATAAGCCCCCTTTGATCCTATAAATTGTTTAAGCATTGGGTCGTAGGACATCTGAAACTTAGAAATCTGGCTGGCTTTGTAGCTTTTGATGCATTTACTTCATTTTCTACATGATTTAGACATGCCAGTCCCTAGTATGTTCTCACACATATTAATGTCAGTAAAAAGAAGTTGAATTTCTTTGATATAAATGTAAAATACTTTATCAGATGATACTGCAAACGTCCTATAATATGATCCTAATATGATGTCATATCTATCTGCCAATTCTAAACAGATATTTTCCTGAAGGAATAGACATATACTTTGAGAATGTCGGTGGGGCCATGCTCGATGCTGTGCTCCTCAACATGAGAGTTCATGGTAGAATAGCTGTTTGTGGGATGGTTTCTCAGCATAGCTATCGTGGCGAGGAAGGGATCCACAACCTATTTACACTCATCAGCAGACGGATCAGAATGCAAGGATTCATTCAGAGCGATTACTTGCATATGTTTCCTAAATTTGTTGAGCATGTAGGGGCTTACTATAAGCAAGGGAAGATTGTATACATCGAAGACATGAGTGAAGGATTAGAAAGCGCTCCTGCTGCTCTTGCAGGGCTTTTTACTGGTAAAAATGTGGGCAAGCAGGTTGTCTGTGTGTCCCGTAATTGATACAATTACCACAAATTGATCCTCGAGGCTCCTTATGTTGTTTGATTTGAGGTAAATCATTGCTCATAATGGCACATTACCTGTTGCAGATGTTAAAGAATTTCAAATTTGTCCATTACTAGTAATCCCAATCAGGGAATGATAGATCTTGCACATGAATGTATATTTTCTATACGGTTATGGCATATACTGATATATCATTAGTTTGGTTGATTAGATTACGCGTGATATTAACATTGGAGTATTAGTCTATTAGAAGGCTTTTGGGTGTGTAGAAAGTCTGGTTTCCAATGTCTTTTAGACGATTTTGTATTCTAAACTTATCATGGTATCGGAGCAGGTTAGATCACGATTAAACACAGGCTTTATTAATTCTAACATCAAAGTATTGTGGATGGCTTAAGCCAACTTTCCTTGTTGCAAATCCTGCCGGTGGCTTTCCCCCTTCTAAACTTATCATAGGTTCAGAAAAATGGGTTTTGACCGTCATACCTGACTATTGTTGGGTTTTGACCAAGAACATACTTTTCTCAAAAATTAGTAAAAAACAAAGAAGAAAAAGTCCATGCACAATTCCTTAAGAACCATGCCCTCTTCTTCACCCAAAAAAAAAAAAGAAAAAAAATCAGAAATTAGTTGGGTCTAAATGTCTAATTAGTTATTGTAATTTGGCTTTTTATATTCCACATAACAGAAAGTTTTACAAATCATGGACAAAATATTTTGCAACTTCCAAAACACATTTTCTGATTTTCATTTGCACTTAAAAATGTTACCATAAAGTAATAATTCAATGTTGAATATGTATAGCATCTAGAATTGAGAAACACTTGTGTGAAATGAGACCGTCTCACACCAATTTATTGTGTAATGTTAGGAAAATATAAAACATCATTTCATCTTTTTCCTAAAAAATATTATAAATGTGTGATAACTATTCTGAAAAGAATTTTTGTTTGTATTATTGAGTAGCAAATATGTCCCAATATGTGAAGTTGTGGTGACAAATATCTTATGGAAAAAATATATACTTAACCTAGAGCAATTACATTGACAACGATCTTGGTTGATTTCGTACGCCAAGGAAGTCCTCTTCTATGTGGAAGTTTATAAAGGGAATTTCCCTCATTTGAGTGGTCATTTTTACTTGCCCCCCCCCCCCCCCTCTTTCCCCTCCCTTTCATATTTTGGATCCACTCGAGATTGTTGGTAGGGGCCTAAACGGTAAACGGACAAAGCTAAAATGTTATACGATTGAAACTCGTTTGTTAAGTAGTAATGTAGTGGATAAACTAATACGTAGTATGATTTAAGTATTTGAGTTTTTTTTTATCTTAATAAAAGGACGGATTTCAAACATAATGTATTTGAATAGTAGAATTATAGATGTTTATGTAGAGAAGTCGATTACATAATTTGGACCTTGACCTTCTAATGGAATTTAATCTACATCATATGTAACAAATATTTTGGTTTTTCTTAAAAAATTAGGAAAGAAAAGAAAAAATAGTGAGAAAGAGTGTGAATTGATATTGTGAACAAGGAGAATGACTGGAGTGTAGGAGAGAAGTTGGACCATGGAAAAAAGTTAGACTAGCCCAAGTAAACGCAGTCAACTAAACACGTTATGGTGGGCCCACATTACTTGAAAATATTTGCTCATATACCTTATAAGACCCGTTCTATTTAGGCAATATAGCCCAAAGTAGAACTTGATAATAAATAAATTAATTAATTAATAATAATAATTTTTCAAAAAAAAAATATATACATACAATATCAGCAAATATAATAATATTCAAATCTTATCTTTAGGACCACATATATGGAGTTAGTGAAAAAAAAAAATTGAATCAACCCGACCTAATATAAAGAGATGCAATATACTAGTAAAATTCAATTTGCATGAAATACAATAAGTCAATATTGTGGTATGATTTAAACTTGAAATAACCTAACCAACTAGACGTTTAGACTTGATCCAGAATAAATCGACGATCTAAATTAACACGATAACACGTATAGTGAAAACTCGTATAGTTTACGAAAATCTATTGACTTAAGTTTTCTTTCTTTTTCTGGAGTGTCATTGTTTATTTTATGTGGTAATTGATCCCTCCAAAACCCCATTCCATTACCAAACTTATTTCTTCTTTGTTTCCTTCTCTTTACTGGTTTCACAAATTACAGTGTCACCCAATTGTTACTAGTCTTACTACTATAATAACCTTTGAATTGTCAAAGATAGACTTAAATTTCCTATGATTTTTCCTCCTTTTTGATGTCTTTAGAAAGTGACCCTCCAAGTCTTCTATCTTGACTTACTTCATATTTGGTGGTTGTTTTACTGAAATACTCTCTGATTAATTTCCTTCAAAACTTGGTTCTTCAATTTTACACCTCTTCTTTGAGCTTCAAAGCTGCAATCTTGAGTTCTGGGTATGTCTCAATTCTTGCTTATTTCCATTAATTTAGCTTGAATTGAATTGGGTTAGTTTATTTTTCCCAAAATTTCAAGTTATCATTATATTTCCATGATTAGGAAACTTTTTATTTTTCAAGAATTTTAGTGCCCATTTGAGTTTTTATTTAATTTCTCTCAATGATGAGAAAATATTGGTTGTAATTCAGTGATATATATATAGATATGTAGCACTGCTATTTTGTTTTTGGGCAGTATAATTTTTGTTCATAAATTTACACTTTAGTTCAGATAACTATATTTGGGGTTTGCATTTTTATTTTTATGTTTGTTGTTGAATAATGGCCCACACTAGAAAGCATACTGCTTCTGTAGTGTTTGGATTAAGGTGTTTACTGATATTGTTGAGTAGTCATGGAATTTATGGGACTGCAACTGATATTCTGTGTTTGAAAAGGATTTACAATTCATTCAAAGATCCTAATGGTTACTTAAATGTAACATGGAATTTCAACAATAAAACTGAGGGTGCAATTTGTAGATTCAATGGGATTGAATGTTGGCACCCTGATGAGAGTAGGGTGCTTAATATTAAGCTAGCAGATATGGGTTTAGAGGGCCAATTTCCTCTTGGAATTGAGAATTGTACAAGCTTGACTGGGTTGGATCTTTCTGGTAACAATTTGAATGGCTCGTTGCCTACGAATATATCGAAGTATATAGAGTTTGTGACAGAACTCGATCTCTCCAACAATGATTTCTCCGGTCCTATACCGGAGAATCTTGCAAATTGTTCTTACTTGAATGGCCTGCATCTTGATCACAACCAGTTTTCAGGCCAAATTCCTCTGGAATTTGGCACCCTTTCTCGGATTAACAGCTTTTCTGTTGCAAACAACAATCTGACTGGTCCAGTCCCTAAGTTCCGGTTTAGTATTAGTAAGGATAGCTATGCCAATAATCCAGGACTTTGTGGGGAAGTTTTGAGTTCTTGCCCTTCTCAAAGCAAGATTCATCCTGGGGTTATTGCTGGGGGAGCAGCTGGAGGTCTAACTCTCATTATTATCTTGACGGGTATTGCGTTCTTCTACATTTCGAAGATGAAAATTATCAGGAGGAAGGTGCTAGATCCTGAAGGTAACAGATGGGCAAAGAGTATGAAGGGAACTAAAGCTGTCAAGGTAACATTTACAGCTTTTACTACTTTGTTTTAATTGCTTTATGTATTCTATGCTACTCCGACTTATGGTACTCATGTTGGATACTGTTATAATTTGTACATGTTAAAGTATCGGGGATCTAACAAGAGTAATTGAAGTGAAATGAAATGAAGAGTCGGAGTGACATAGTAATCTTTTTGCTTGTGCTAATGTAGAACATTTTCGTCATATGCAGGTTTCCATGTTTGAGAAGACAGTTTCAAAAATGAGTTTGGAAGACCTTATGAAAGCCACAAACAGCTTCAGCAATTATAACATGATTGGTTCTGGAAGAATGGGAGCAATGTACAAGGCAACGATGTCTGATGGTACAATCCTTACAGTCAAGAGACTGCAAGATTCACAGCGAACAGAGAAAGAATTCATGTCCGAGATGAATACTTTGGGCAGTGTGAAGCACCAAAACTTAGTCCCTCTCTTGGGGTACTGTGTGGCAAAGAAAGAGAGGTTCCTGGTCTACAAATACATGGCTAATGGAAACCTCTTTAACTGGCTTCATCCTTCAGACCCTGAGGAGGCCAAGAGTTTAGAGTGGCCTGTAAGGCTTAAAATTGCAATTGGGGCGGCTAAGGGGTTGGCTTGGATGCATCACAACTGCAACCCTAGAATCCTCCACAGAAATATAAGCTCCAAATGTATTTTGTTGGACGAGGAATTTGATCCCAGGCTGTCCGACTTTGGTCTTGCACGACTCATGAACCCGATTGACACTCACTTGAGCACTTTCGTGAACGGAGAATTTGGTGATTTTGGGTACGTTGCCCCTGAGTATGCAAGAACACTAGTTGCAACTCCAAAGGGAGATGTTTTTAGTTTTGGAACTGTTCTTTTGGAGCTGATCACTGGTGAAAAGCCAACTAAAGTGTCAAATGCCCCAGAAACCTTCAAGGGTAGCTTGGTAGAGTGGATTGCGCTACTGTCAGAGAATAATGATCTCCATTCTGCCATCGATAAGTCTCTCCTTGATAAGGGAGTTGATAACGAGCTTTCTCAGTTTCTCAAAGTCGCTTGTAATTGTGTTTCACCTACGCCAAAAGAAAGACCTACAATGTTTGAAGTGTACCAGCTACTGAGAGCCATTGGTGAAAATTACCATTTCACAGCTGAAGATGAAATTATGATTGCGACAGAAACCTCAGATGCTGGTTTTCCTTCTGAGCTCATTGTTGCTCAAGAATGAGAAATGTGTAAAGAGGTCATTATTGATTGTGTGCAGTCAAGGATGTTTGTGCAGTTCATCATTGAAAAAGTAATGTGTTTTCGACTTTCCTTCTTGCGCTTTTTGTATTAATCAGTGACTTCACCAAATTCAGACCTTAACTAGTTGAGGCATAAGAATGCAACGAATACACAAAAGGGTTGACAACAGTTGCTGTGCATCAAATCCTGGATTGAGAGAGGTGAAGAATCAAAATAAAAGAGATAATTTTATTCCCAAACCCTCTTAACTCCTCGAATAATTGAACCGTCTAGCTATAAGGATTTTCCATTGCATGAAACGCATGTACCAAAAACAATTTGTTATTACAAGGTAGGCAAATACTTGTTGATATAAAACCTACTTCTATAGTTCTAATGATACAAAACATAATCAAAGCAAAGATTGGAATTGTTTTTGGCTGCCACTCCAATTTACTTGCATTTTATCTACCAAGTAATAAAAAAAGAACAGAAGATAATTGAACAAGGTAATATGTCAAAGTCTCAAAGACATAACTAGAGAGATTTTCACTCGTACAAGGGAAGAGAGAATCCTCGTACAAAAAACATCATAAATGGTAATGTAAGCCAACATGCAACAGCCATATATGTTTGTTACGGACCCAAAGTAGAGGTAGAGGGAAGGACTAAAGGCATGAAAGGATCTCAAACTAAAGTCTCAGATACCAAGTTACCAACCCCAAAGACTTCAGAATGCTAAATCATACAAATTTACACATCTAAACATGATTAGTATATTGTACATGCAGTGAAATTGTAGAGCTATACATCTCTAACTCAGTGTAAAACCCCCACCCCCAAAAGATACAAAAATATAGAGACCTTGCTCTTTAGATGAGGACTATTAGTGATCTGACGAGCAACAAACTTTGTTAATCCTGAAAACTATATTTGAGGAAGCTCAATTTAGATCTAACTTTCTGTTAGCAGAGAATCAAAAGATTCAGCTACGTTATGAGAGTTTGGTTTCCCTCTCCCAGATCACATGAAATGTAAGCTAGTAACACACCACCTACAAGACAAAACCACACTATACCATATTTCAGCAACAAGTCTTTAGCTTATGCATTACCAACCACATTCTATACCGGGGCAAGATACTGAACCAATGGGAGCAGGTAAAATACAAAATTAATTATTCAAAAGGGGTCGGAAAAAAAAAAAAATCAATCAATAAGGCTCCAATAATCTCTGTAGCGCAACCATTTTGTCTAGGTCACATATAACCTGGAAAGACAAATCTAAAATGTTAGAAAAATCCTCAATACTTTAAATTCCCAAATCCCTACCATTGTTGAGTTCCTCACTAATCTCAATGTATGATTCAATTAAATTATACAAAATGTAAATGACATCATAAGTTTTGACAAGCATGCAATAAATGTGTTTTAAAATAATAGTATTAATGTGCTTGTATGTTCCATGTACTCGAGAAAAAGGAACGGATTAGAGTTTAAGCATGAGTTTGAATATTGAAAAAAAATATAAAGAATAATATGTGTCTCTTTGTTTTTGAGTATTGATAGTTAAGATGGTAAGGCATGTGGTGTTCATTCCCTGAGATTAGGAGTTCAAAATTCAATTAATAAAACAAATTATGTTTAAATTATATATGTATTAACAAATTACGTAGAAATATACAATTGACCATTAGTTTTAGATTAGATGTGTTTTAAAATAATAGTATCAATGTACCAATTTTAGAGCAAGGATCATACCTATGTTGGTTATATACGATTTGCGATTACATAGAAGCACTGTTTTTCAAACAGTGGAATAAAAGAATTAAATTAGCAAAGCAAGAATTGCTCGACAATTTAGGGAATGAAACAGATATTAGAGATTCTTACTCATTCTATATCATCACTGCTTTAAAGTGGATTGAAAACCATGAATTTTTCCTTGAAGAAATTTATTATAAGAATTGGTGAGTGCACATCGAAAGTGAAAATGTGTTTAATTGAGAAGTACTCCCTCCGTTTTTAAATACTTGATTCATTTCTATTTTTTGCACTATTCATTTATCATACTTTGACTAATGTTTGTGATTTATATATAAAAAAAATATAGTCGTATGGGTACTTGTTGGAATCATCTCAATGAATAGATTATTAATTTTCAATTGTTGGAAGTTATACCTATTGATAATTAAAGATATTAGTGATCAAAGATTAGCATCGACATGTGTGTCCAAGAGAAATGGAGCAAGTATTTAAAAATAGAGGGAGTATTAATTAAATTGATGATTGGCAAGATAATTAATACGAATTATAAATGAATAAACGATTTTATGTAACGACGAGCTTTTTTTTATTCCATTATTTGAAAAATAGGAGAGTACAAGTGTTTATAGGTAAATAGTACAAGGAGGTGTAGTATGTAGAAATGCTTATGTATGGTATGACTTCTTGTGTTGTGTTGTCTTCAATGATTGAATGACCATAACCTATATTTATAGGTGTAAAGATGGAGCTTGGAAGAAATGGCCGGAATATTCTAGAAATTCCTCCATCATTCTTGTATCCTAATGTTCTAGAAAATTCACGAACCGTGTATTATATTCTAGCTAATAGTTTCCAATGTCAATAATGCTTTAGAGCATTCAAGTAGGATATTATTCTAGAGATTCCGGAAGGGCCTCTAAAATATGCATAATACTCCACCAAAATAATAGACTTATAAAATTTAGGTCATATCCAACCGCTATCCATGTGACCAAGGCATAAAATCGAGGCCTTATCCAAAACCCAACAATATTAGGGTCGATGCAGACCATTGAACCAAGATGAAATGGCAAGTGGGTCAACTTCTGTTGTCGAAATTCCTCCTTCCCATGACCATGACTTGAACATTACTTGTGCTGATTCTTCAAATATGAACTATTTGTTAGCATGTTGGAGGTGTACAATGAAAAAATAAGGGATCTATTATCTTGGTGGAGAACACCAGTAGAAGTAAGTGATTCTTAAAACAGAAAGTAGAATACTGCTTGATTACATAAATGTGCAGGGATCGTAGCTTGGTAATAGGCATGACTGATGCTTAAACATTCATAAACATTTCCCGTCAAAAAAAAAAAAAAAAAAAAAATTCACATGGGAATCTAGCCACAGATTGTCAGCACCAATTGACTTGTTACTGTTAATTAAAATTCTTCCTTACAATAATCGAAGCTAGGTTACAAATATCCTCAGAAGGTGTTCATGCTTAATTCTGGAATTGTCACTTTTCTCCTTTGGCTTTTGGTGTGCAATGTTGTATATGTTTGTCTTCACGCTCTGAATGTTATATAATACATTAACAATGCAATGATGGTAGAAATATTGGAGTAGCCATTACTGTGGAAATAATTAATTTTGCCACGCTTGTAGCTTGCTGTGGATTACTGTGAAAGGGGAAAATTTAAGAGGGGTTGCCTAGATTTGTTTGATTACTTTTGTTATGTTGAAAAAATTTATGAGGGTTGAACCTTATTCTGCTAATATTGGTCAGGGAACCTTATTTTGCTGGGGATATTATGGCTTACCATCCAGCTATTTGGAATTTCCATTGCACAAAAATACATGTACCAAAAACCTCAAGGTATTACATGGTAGGCAAATACTTCTTGTTATTAAACCTACTTCTTGTTAAAAGCAAAGATTGGAATTGCTTCTTAGCTGCCACTCCAATTTGTTTGCATTTTATCTACCAAGTAATAAAAAAGAGAAAAAGATAATTGAACAAGGTAATGTCAAAGTCTCATGGACATAACCAGAGAGATTTTCACTCGTACAAGGGAAGAGAGAATCCTCGTAAATATGTGGAATCCACCCCAGATTCTCTGGCCAATGCCACTCTTCCAGTACGTGCCACCTACAAGAAACATCATAAATGGTAATGTAAGCCAACATGCAACAACCATAGATGTTCGTTACGGACCCAAAGTAGAAGTAGAGGGAAAGACTAAAGGCATGAAAGGATCTCAAACTAAAGTCTCACATACCAAGTTACCAACCCCAAAGACTTCCAATTGCTAAATCATACAAATTTACACAGCTAAACATGATTAGTATATTGTACATGCAGTGAAATTGTAGCGCTATAGATCTTTGACCCAGTGTCAAACCCCTATCCCAAAAAGCACTTGGTGTATAAATACAAAAGTATAGAGACCTTGCTTTTTAAATGATTTTGATTTCCATTCTCAACCAGCAACAAACTTTGTTAATTGAAAAGTATATTTTATGAAGCTTAATTTAGATTTGACTTTGTGTTGGCAGAGAATCAAAAGATTCAGCTGCGATATGAGAGTTTGGTTTCCCTCTTCCAGATCACATGAAATGTAAGCTAGTAACACACTAACACACCACCTACAAGCAAAAACCACACCATACCATATTTCAGCAACAGGTCTTCAACTTAGGCATTAGTGCATTACCAACCTCATTTTGTAATGCACTAACTCACTCACTGAAAAGTGAAAACTGCAAGCTCGTTTTGAGACCAATTTAACCAACTAAGGCAATATACTGAACCAGGGGGGTTTACAAAATTAATAATTCAAAAATTGAAGAAAAAAATACAGACCTCGCAAATTCCATAAGGCTCCAATAATCTCTGTAACGCAACCATTTTGTCTAGATCACCCGTAAGCTGAAAAGACAAATCAGAAATGTTAGAAAGACTCTCAATACCCTAAACTCCCAAATCCCTACCATTGTTGATATCAGTGTAATTCTATTCTAAATTGCTTAGTTTATGACTTTAGGTTCCCTTTAAAATAGGCCATTTTCATAAACTATACTAATTCGCCTGCCCATAGTGTTTCCCTAATTCATTATCAGTAACGCACAAGTTACAAGTCACCAATCCCAAAGTGGGAAAATAATATAGGAAGGAACTACTGTAAGTAGGAGGGGGTATAACTTCAAATCAAGAAGCACTGCTTTGTTGAGAGTAAGAAAGAGGGGGAAAAGGGAAAATCACATGTACCTGTAAGGTGATGGTATGATCAGAGACATCTACAGCTTTTGCACGGAATATATTGGCAATATCAAGGACATCTCTCCTGGCAGAAGTATTTACAGCTACTTTGATCAACATAAGCTCTCGCTCTGAAAATGGCTGGTGAGTAAGGTCCTGAATCTGTAGCAATAAACTTTCCATAGTCAGGTTGTCAAATCTTTCATGCTTCATGAATAAGATACTGGTATAGAAGCTGCTGAAAATCTAGTACTGAGATAAATCTTAAACCTTATGCATGACACTAGGTGAATGAAATCTAGCCACTGACTAAGAATGGAACCTTTACTTGAACAAAAAAGTAACTCCACTTGTTTCAAAAAAAAAAAAATAACTCCACAGTAAAGATGGGATATCATGCAAGATGTCCAGAGTATCTTTACCAAAATGATACCGA